TCCCTGGCACATTCCGGAATGTTCTTTCCCGTTAGGGCTCGGTGGTGGTGGAGCGGGTGTACCCGGTGCCGCTGGCCCGGGCGGGCGCGGTGCCCCGGCCGCAGCCGCGCCGGTTCCGCGTGTTCCGGCTGCTGCGGGACGGGAAGCACCGGCCCCGCGGAGAGCTGGAGCTGCTGCTGAGCCGCGCCGTGCAGGGTGAGCGCCGGGAATCCGGGAATGCCGTGGGACATTCCCGGGAATTCTGTGTGCCCCGGGAATCCGGGAATGCTGTGGGACAGTCCTGGGAATTCTGTGTGCCCCGGGAATCCGGGAATTCTGAGTGCCAGGAATCCGGGAATGGTGTGGGACATTCCTGGGAATTCTGTGTGCCCCGGGAATCCGGGAATGCTGTGGGACATTCCTGGGAATGCCGAGCACCGGGAATCCGGGAATGCTGTGGGACAGTCCTGGGAATTCCGTGTGCCCCGGGAATCCGGGAATGGTGTGTGCCCCGGGAATCCAGGAATTCTGTGTGCCCTGGGAATCCGGGAATGCTGTGGGACATTCCTGGGAATTCTGTGTGCCGGGAATCCGGGAATTCCGAGTGCCAGGAATCTGGGAATGCCGAGCACCGGGAATCCGGGAATGCTGTGGGACAGTCCTGGGAATTCTGTGTGCCAGGAATCCGGGAATGCTGAGTGCTGGGAATTCGGAAATTCTGTGTGCTGGGATTCTGGGAATGCTGTGGGACATTCCTGGGAATTCTGTGTGCCCCGGGAATCAGGGAATGCTGTGGGACATTCCTGGGAATTCTGCGTGCCCTGGGAATCTGGGAATGGTGTGTGCCAGAATGGGGTTGAGGAGGGAAAATGGGGGGAGAATTCGGATTTAGGAGGAAAAAAAAATGGAATTTAGGAGGGGAAAAAATTGGGATTTAGGAGGGGGAAAAAATGGCACTTAGGAGGGAAAACTTGGGATTTAACAGGGAAAAAATCGGGATTGAGGAGGGGGTAAAGTCGGGATTGAGGAGGGGATAAGGTCGGGATTGAGGAGGGGGTAA